ACAAAGAGCAGATGAAAAACATCGATCCTGGCTTACGCTTTACCTGTAAGGGATTGTTGTCACTTTTCAAATTTGTAACCTATTTGCTTTTCTTTAATCTAAATTTAACCTAAATTTTAAAATGTATAATTTATTCGATGATTTTTTTGTTATATGATACCCATCTTATTGCCAAATGTCAATAAATTCACCTATTCTTGGTAATTTTAGATGTCTGTAATTAAGTATAAGGGCTCTAGGCCTAGAGTCTATGGTATAATATATACCCTGTTTTTTTATTTTATGAAAAATAAAGGTAAGGGGTGCCATAAAAATTGGGCTCTGAGTACAGAAAGGTTGAGTTAAGTCCATCCGTGGACACACTGTATAACGCTGTAGAACTAATTCACATTAAAACGTTTTTGAACAACTTTCGGAGGACAGTACTGTAAAACTGCTAGTGTGATATTCTGTGAATTTACCGTTGTAACCTCTGACGTGCTTTAAAAGTCTTCAGCTGCTGACATTCGATGATTGCATGGATGTTAGGGTTACATTAAAAGTACATTGCTTTCAAGCTTAAAGAGTCCTTAATTGCAGCTCATTAACTTAGATTGCATGTTTATCTGCTTGCTGAGTAATGTTTGATTAAAAAATATGGGAATCACAACAGTTACAAGAATAAGAAGACGAAGAAGAAGAAGAAAAAGAAGAAGACAAGAAAAACTATATTGTAATTATAGTATTATCTAAAAATAATTAACGTTATTGCCCAACAGAATAAGTCCAGTTATAGGACAAATAAATACGTAACACAATAGCATTTCATATACAGAATAAATGTTAAATCTAATAGATACCTAAATCATAAATAAAAATATTTAAAAAGTAATAATAGCTACCTACAAATGGAAACTTCACGGAGAGTAAGGAAGGATGAGGTCACCTCTTACCTTGAAACTCTTTCACGGAAGATTACCTTTTCTAATAAGGGACACAACTAACGTAAGCAGGCCCCCAAGAGAGGCCGCTGTAGTGGCCAAACACATTTGCAGCAGAAATCGGTTAAAATGGGCCGTAAACACTTTTGAACCGTTTAAGTCTCCAGGTGTGGATGGAAAATTTCCTGTCCTGCTTCAGCAGACACTGAAGGATTTACTACCACACATAATCCGGCTATCTCGGAGCAGTCTGGAGCTGGGATATATACCAGAAGCATGGAGAAGGGCCAGAGTCACCTTTATTCTAAAAGTAGGGAAAAAGGATACACATCCTAAATCCTTCCGAACAACACGCGTACCGAGCAGGAAAATCTACAGGAACTGCCCTAGTACAGTTGACTGACGTAATCCAGGATGCACTGACAAAGAAACGGTCGTGTGTGCCTTCCCGACTAATGTGGAGCCTAACCGTAGACGAACTTTTATGTAGATTGACTGACCTCGGCATACCCTGTCAAGGTTATGCCGACGACATAGTCATATTTGCTATTGACAAATTTAGTAATATCCTGTGTGATGTAGTCCATCGAGGACTACAACATACCAAAAGATGGTACCGTGAAGTGGGACTTAATATAAACCTTACAAAAACAACACTAGTAGCCTTTTCAAGGAAAAGAAAACTTAATCTCAAAACCGTTAAATTAGACGGGATAGATATAGAATGGAATAATGAAGTCAAATATCTAGGCCTAGCCCTGGACAACAAACTTCTCTGGAACACACATGAGAAGGAAGTAGTAAATAAAGCCACAGAAGCCCTAATGGTATGCAGAAACATTGCATGTAAACGATGGAGATGTAACCCAAACATACTGCGATGGATGTATACTGCAATAGTGAGAGCAATCATCACTCACGGGGCTATAGCCTGGAGTAACAGAACTAGTTCAGTTACTACGAGAGCTAATATCTCAAAAGTACAAAGACTAGCCTGTATTTGCATTACTGGTGCAATGAGAACCTGTCCTACGGCCTCAATGGAGGTGATCTTAAACCTCACCCCTCTACATTTGATGATAGAAAATGTGGCGAAAATTACACGATATAGAATGATCAGGAACGGAGTAATTAGACGAAAATCTACTTGCTTCAGGACTAAAAATACCTGGAACATGTCTCAAGATGAAATGCTTCAAAACTACAAAGCTGGGCTGCAAGAAAGAATGGAGCCAAGAATCCATCGCGCTTGCAACCGAAAGACGTGCTATTTAGTGGTATACCCAGATAACAATTATACATTCTTAGCATATTCTTAGTATATACTTTTTAAGAATACGCATATGCTGAGAATATACTGAATTTGCATTTGGTACATTCTCAGAATATGCTAAGCATATGCTACATGACGTTGTTTATACTTGCTATGCAGATACTGAGAATGTTCTTAAAGTATGTGTACAATATGCAACAGGTATCTACTTTATTTTGATAGTACGTTCTAAGTATATGCTAAGTATTTAAATATAACATATGCTAGGCATATACTAGACACCTTAATACAGGATGTTTAATTAATATTGAACATTAAAGAATAAGTGTATATAATGAGTCTTTATTTCAAAGAATTCATACTTATTTTTATTACAAATACTATCTTTGGCCTTAACCAATAAATATGTTATTGATTCATTGTGTTGAGTTTCATTTGCTTGATCTTCATTGAACCTAAAAAATAAAAAAAATTAACAAACTTGGTACATATACAAATTAAGTGTATATAGCTAATGGAATATTTTAAATATTTTTGTCGAACATAAAACATTAAAAATTGTACATGGCATTTCACTAACAAAAACAAGAGTTACATAATTGAATATGATGTTTACTGAAAGTTTAAATATATATTTTTTAATTACTTACCACCATTTTGTAGTTTTCTTCCTCCTTTAGCTAACTTTTCTAGTTCTTCCAGGTCAATATCTGGCCTTACAGTATTTTTTTCATAGAAAATTTGTATGTAATTCTGGTAATACTGTATTTTAGTTTCAATCCACCATTAGTATTAACTATCTTAATAAATTTACACTGGCAATTAATATTTGGGATATAGATATGTATATAAACTTGTTTTTACATGTATTTGGTAGTGTTGTGAATATCCGTATCTTTTTAGTATTCGGATAATACGTATTCGGAACCAAGAGATATTCGGATTCATCATCTGGATACGTATCCATATTCCATGTGTGTGCAGTGTTGTTCCTAGGGATTTTTTAATTGTACAACTTTTATTGTCAAAATTGTACACTTTTACGTTAGATTGTACAACCACTAATTAGTCTACTACTTTCCGATGCTTAAAATTCTTCTTTTTTCCAGTTTAAAAATTTTTTTCGATGTAAAACGGTGTATTGATTGGTCGCGAATGGCGCCAAATTCAAACATTATTGTTTTATTAATTTTAATGCATACGATTTACGATATACCAGATTTTACCTAAATATTTAGCAACTTGAAATTGTACATTTCTACCTTTTTTCAAACCACAACCACATAACTGATTGTACAACTTTTTGTTCATTCTAAAAGGATATACTAAAAAGAACTTAAGCAGAACGTTCTTGGTATATTCATAGAACATTGATGTTATGTGGGTACGGACGGTTCCAAAACCATAGAAGAAGGAACTGGAATCGAGTGTATGGGCCGAGAACCAAGCACTCGGAAAGCTTGGGAAAATACCCAAGCATCTTCCAGGCGAAAATTCACGCCATCGAGAAGTATGTCCAGTTTAATATCGAGAGAAACTATCATAGACAAGAGATTATCATCATGGCCGATAGTCAAGCAGCCATCAAAGCGCAGAATTCTTACGTAATCATGAGCTAGGCGAGACAAATAGTGTTACTTTCACTTGGGTCCCGAGACATAACTGGGTTACATGGTAACGAGATTGCAGATAGTCTTGTAAGGAAAGGGGCTCAAACACCTTTTGTAGGACCTAAGGCGTTCTGTGGTATCAGCAGTAACATAATATTAGGAGAGATTAAAAAAGAATTGGGCAGTAAAAGAACCGTTAATTGGAACAATCTCTTGGGGCTGAGACTGGCCAAGATACTTCTGGGTGAATATAACCAGAAAAGTTTGGAAGCCTGCATCTGCCTGAGCAAGAACAGGCTACGTATTGTAACAGGAATCCTTACCGGGCATTGTCGACTAAAAGGACACCAGTAAACTGAGAGTAGTAGAGGATAGTGAGTGCAGATTCTGTGAGGAGGACGACGAAACCTCCATTCACATCTTAACTGAATTTGTAGCACTCCAGATTCCAAAGGCACTATATCTAGGAGGATATCGAATAGAAGAGGGAGATTTACCTAACTTAAAGCTACTTCAAATCCTACACTTCCTTGAGAAAATAGGATTGGAAGGGACGTTATAGGCATTGAGACATTTCATTGGTGCCTTTGCGACAGAAGGGGACACAATAGATCTTTTAGGTTGCAGTGTATTAACACCCCATTCCCGACATAACATAATATACGTACAAAAGAAGTTTACCAAAATATTCATTTTTACTTATTATCAACACTATCAATTTTTCTATAATTACAGCAGGAGTTCGAAAGATTTTGGGCTGGTCGATTTGAGTCCAAAACAGCTGGTCCAGTTTTTTCATCGTCGCTTTAAACGTCTTATATTTATATTACATTATTTTCCGTTTTAACACCGACGATGGTGAGCACGCTACCTCCAATTACCAGAAATTTAACCCCTGGTGTTCCAGGGATATTTAAAGAGCCCAACATCTATGGAATCGGGACAGAGGGGTTTACATTTACATCTCCTCCGAAAAGACAGCACACCCCCACGCTATACCTCGCACTCATTAATATAACGCTTGTATGCAAGTAAACAAACTGTTCGAACGTACGCTGACTTTCATTGAAATAATCACCCATTCAGCTACTAACTGCGTGGGCCTAACTTGACTGCAGGTATCGTTAAGTGAACCTGCTAAGCCGGGCCGTTGCCCCGTTGAAAGTGTTAATCTTAATTGTTTTGAGCTTTAATAATTCTTAATTTGTCTTAATAATTGTTAGTGTGATCACTATTATAATGTATTACAATCAACGTAAATAAGCAACCGATCCATGTCTTCTTTTATCGTGAACTCCGACGATATTTCTTCTAGTTTCGTCTACGGAAATTGCAGTCACTGCTACGAAGCCGTCAGCTCTTGAATAAGTTATGTTGTGTCCTATTTGTTGAAGGCCAATAGCCACATCTTCATCCTAAAAATTAAAAATCATAATAATTTCAGATAATAATAATAATATTAAAAGAAATGATAATGATACCAGTAGTTAATGTGAAAATTGTGACTTTAAAAGATAGTTTCATTTTTTTAGATACTGAAGTGTTACTTTTAATGTAAAGAGATTAAAAAAGTTTAATATCAATAACAACATATAATTCTTGTTATTTATTGGTTAGTTTTTTATTTAATTTGTGATTTACAAATATCTCTAGGAAATGTATTGAAGTTTTTTTATTTTTAGGAAAATAATTACTTACCTCGGTAAGCCATTCATCTTCAAGGAAAAGATTCATAGGAAACAATTGATGATGCACTCTCTTCAGATCGGAAGCAGCTTTGACATCCATATTAAAATATAAACGATTCAGTATAACCTTAAAAAAATCCAGCAATATTATGTAAGGTATTAGGGATACGATATGGACTGTAGCAATTTCTCGTCACCAGATATGCAGGTCTTGGGTTTGAGGTTATTTTTCAGTTATTGTACTAATGCTGACAAATTGTATGGTTTAAAAGATTTTATTAAATCATTAGGAAACCATATTTTCCTTATTTTCACGTCGAAATAAATGATTTTAGGGCTGAATTCCTTTATAATAATTACAAAAAAATAAGTACATAGGTGTCCAAAAATGATCACTAAAATGTATGATATAGTTTAAAGTTAATGCTTATTATGAGCGAAATCCAGCTTTCAGCTTTCGTAGAAAAGTCATCGGTAGAGCAGAATACAGGGTGTATTTTTATCATCTGATTAGTTATTTTCCTGTGTATTTATACAACATTTTCTGTTCATCTTAATATAATAACCAACAGAGTTGAAGGTATAGAAAACGAAACTAGTCACAACCAAAGCTCAAGACTGAAGAGAATGTGACCGGACGTTCTATATTAATTATTTTACTGAGGTGTTATTCAAAGCGGCAATAATCAGTAAGGATTCCTGTTACAATGCGTAGCCTGTTCTTGCTTAAACATATACATGCTGTCAATCTATTTTCCTTATAGTCACCCAGAAGTATCTTAGCCTGTCTTAGCCCTAAAAGATCATCCCAATTATCAGCTCTTTTACTGCATAATTCTTTGTTAATCTCTTCTAGTATTGTGTTACTGCTAATACTGCAAAACGACTTTACAAAGAATGTTGAGCCCCTTTCCTTGAGAGTCTATCTGTAAATCTCGTTATCCTTTACCCCTTTTGTCCTGAACCTAAGGGAGAGTAACTGTATTATCCTCGTCTAGCTCATTTAATTTTTCTAGTCATATCCATACTATGTTTGAGGTAATTACGTAAGAGCTCAGCACATTGATTGCTACTTGCCCATTGGACATAATTACATCTATTGTCTACGATAGTTACTCTCGATGTTAAACTAGATGCACTTCTCAATGGCGTAAATTTCTATTTGGTAGATTCTTGGGCATTTGGCTAAACTTTCAGAGTACCTGGTTATGAAGCCCATACACTCCTATTCCAGTTCCTTCTGTAGTTTTGGAACCATCCGTATACCACTAAATTGCATGCCTTTTTGTTGCAAAAACGATTGATTCATGACTACAATTTTTCTTGTAGCCCTGCTCTGTAATTTTGAAGTTTTTATTCAAACTGTACTTCTTTCTTATTTCGTCATGGGGCATATTTCAGATATCTTAAGTCTCGTCTAATTATTTCTAGTACCTTTTGCTACGTTCTCTTCCATTAAGTGTAGACGGGTGAGGTTTAATATCACCTCCAAACAATGGGTTATAATCAATTTACTAATAAATTTGTATAATACTGTTTTTTCTTACCTGTGAAACACTTGAAGTTATTCTACTACCACCAGCACCACCTACAACCATATAAAGATCTCCATTGCTCTCAGTTATTATTGTTGGGCACATAGAAGATTGAGGACGCTTTCCTGGTGCAATATAATTGGAAGGAGATGGTGGGAAACCGTACTCGTTGACAAAACCTGGCGTTGAAAAATCATCCATGGAGTTGTTGAGGATGATGTCCGTACTAGGTGATGCGAAAAGAGCACCTAAACTAAGAAATCAAAAAAAAATTGTATAGAATAAATATGAAAAAATAGTTAACATTTTAAAGTTATTCAAAAGTTGTCATGGAAGGGACTGGCCTATTAGCTGTATCAGTGCCAATTACTTAGGGCTTTCAAGAATAAGTGGCCCAAATAGTTTTACGAAAGTGGTAAAGAGACCAAATAGTTTCACATGGGCAAGCTTGAGGAATGAAGGGACAAAATATTTTTACATTATTAAATTTAAAGGGTAAAAGGCACAAATATTTTTTACATTGATAGGCTCACGGGATTAAGAGCCCCAATATTTCCATTCAAAGAATTTGCAAACCCTAATCAAAAGTCAAGAAAGAATGGTTCTTAGAAACCAATATCACCAATGTTACGTTTATCTGCGTGGTTTATCCTTAGTAATGATTCTCAATATCGCCTTTTTTGGTCTTTCGTTCAAAATAAAATGGTTTCTCATTTTCTATATAAATTTGCGCTCAGGGGCCTTAATCTTGATAAGAAGGAAACCATCAATTCCTTGTCTCTCGAATATTAATATTCAAATTATCAAAAATTATATTTTTGATAAACAACTAATTTTATTAGGTTTTTCACAAGTTGTCAATGATCAAATTCAAACTAACCTTATCTGGCCTATCAGGACAACTGCCTACCATCCTACCAAAAAAGAGAAGAGACCTGAGGGGAACTCCATGGTGGAACAGAAATCTCGACCAAAAAATAAAAATGTTAAACATCTCTTCAATCGAGCTAAAGAATATTGCTGCTGCGACAAATACCGCAAAATCCCAACGAAGTAAAACAAGGCCATTAGAAAGACCAAACGAGAATCGTGAAGGAAGTTCTGTCAAGAGTGTATCAGATTTACCTGCAAGTACCAGGCGCACAAGATTTTCGACAAAGATTTAAGACAGAAAATTGTGAAAATAAAAAGATTATATGACACCTATACGGACTCTGGCAGGGAAACGTTAGAGATTCTGCTACAGAAACACTTTCCTTTTAAAGGAATCGACTATAGGACCCGAGAAGGAGGACTAGAACTTCGTTACAAGTTGTCTCTTCAAGAGCAATGAAATGGGCGATGAATTTTTTATTCCCTTTCAAATCAAGCAGAGTGAATTACATGTTCCTACCCTTTTGCAAAAAACATTTGCTACCCCTCCTTGTGAGGCTATTTAGAGCAAGCCTGGCGTGGAGTTATATCCCGCTAGGTTGCATGATGGCAATAGTTTTGTATATACACAAGCCTGATGGATTAGGTACTTCCCTATCAAACTCCTATCGTCCAATCTGCCCAACATCCGTTAATTTAAAAACACTAGAGATAATTCTAGTAAGGCATATTAGAGAGGGACGCCTTCCGGCAATCCCGTTTAGCTCCTAAACAATCTAGTAGGCAAAATCAGTTATTCCCTAAAACACGGGGAGATTGCGCTGTGTGCCTTCCTAGACATAGAAGGCGCCTTCAATAACAATAACGCCTTTTCTCAGTCTCTGCTTCTATTAAAAAGAAAGGAATCGACAAACTGACCTGTAATTGGATCAATATCATTCTGATAAACCTCAACATCATTTCATCACAGCATGAAGAGACGGTCACTTTCAGGCCTGCAAGAGAATGTCCACAACACAGCGTACTTTCACCCTTACTGTAGAACATTCTGGTGAATAACCTGCTAGACGATCTCTCTCGGCACGGGGTGGATCATAATTAGGAGAAAGTGCGAAGAGATGATTTCCAACATTCTTCAATAAGCCCTAACTAAATATGATTAACAGATGCTGCGAAAGGGAGGATATGTCTGTTAACCCCTGTAAAACTGTTATCATCTTCTTCACCAAGAGAAGAAAACTCGACAAGCTTCGGCAACCTGCCATATCTTAGATTAGAAACTCACCTGAGACCTTTAATTAGATAAAACCATCAAAAAAGTCAGATTATCCCTCTGGACCCTCAAAAGGATATATGTGGCAAACCAAACAGTGGTAATAAGATATGTAACTACAAATATCGTTCTATAGTGAATAAGACATATTCTAAGGGGCACAAAAGAGTATAATATCCGATGTTGTCATACCAATTACATTATTTTCATTTTGTTTACAAAATTATTCACATATCTTTAAAAAGCTAAAATAATTCAGCGTATTTTATCGCAACTGAACCAAAAAAATTTTAAATCAGTAGTTAGGTCAAATTTAACTAAATTATATGTAATTTTAATAAAATAGATGTAATAATTTTCAATAAATTCAAAAACATAGTCAATGTTAAGTTGGATATTAAATACTTTGTACTTGATGTGGCAACAGGGAACAGGTCTAGCATGGGCTTGCATTTTGTACGTTGTTTATTACAGGCGTACAACGGATTACTCATATATTCATTGATAAAATTGTTTTGTGCCGCCATCAAATCCATTTCTTTATCCCTTCCCTTACTTCGCACCACTATCTATTCAGTTTAAACCTACAACTGTGGAATCGATGTTAGCAGCATGAATATTATATCTTATCAATAAATAACTATATCTCCTGTTATCTCTGGCTGAAACCCATGGTTACGTATGGCTCCGTCATCTAGTAGGACAAGGGACTTCAACAGACTGCTAGATCGAAACTGGCTGAGATCCAGGCACGCAAGCAACTGGATCGGCTTGCGTGCCTCGCTATCACTGAGGTAATGTCAACCATACCACCGACGGGAGCCATGGAGACCATGCTGGACCTAACCCTCTCCACATTATGCTGGAAAGGGAGGCCAGGATGATCTCCTATAGACTCCTGAAGGTGCAAGGTACACCGAAGAACTGCGATATGACAAGATTGGGCTGGTGAGTGAGAATAGTAACCACCGCATCCTCGGCATAGTTTTAGACTCACTAGCTCGCCGACAGCATATAGAAAAGTCATACAGCGTCCTCGTTCCAGGGAAAGACGTATTTAGCGAGGAAGATAATACACTCTTCCAGACGGAGTGTGCGCTGTACATAGACGGCTTCAAAATTGAAAAAGGAGTAGAAGCTGGAGTTTTCGGCTGAAAGCCAATAGTTGACATATTAACAACCCTATGCTCTCTGGCCACGATAGTCCAAGGAAAAATAATTGCTATAGAATTGGCAGCAAGAGAGTTGAATAATTTTCTCTCCGCAGACCTTTGCGGATAGCCACGCAGTTCTCAAGGCCCTAAGCTCCAATCGAGTTGACTTAAAGCTGATTTGGAACTGTATAAATACCTTTAAGTGTCTCGGTATCTATAACAAAGTTACTTTGATCTGGGTTCTGGGACACAGCGATGTGAAGGGCAATGAAAAGGCCAACGCGTTCGCTAAAATAGGGACCATTCCTTGGCAATGTAAAGAGCACTTCTAAAGGAATTATTTTAAAATGGACAGAGGTTGCAACACTCACGAACTGAATAGATTCCCTAGGGCTAACTCATTCAAAGGCGTTTATAACCAATTTTTTCACAAACGTCTCTGCTTCGATCCTAGATTGGAGCAGGAAAGGACTACGCATTTTCACTGGACTGATGACATCATTGTTGTCTGAGTAACCACATGAGAAGGATAGATCTTCAACAAACATCAGAGTGGCAATTCCTCAGCGTGGAAGACGAATCTGCAGAGCACATTTTATATACCTGCTCCACGTTGAAAAGAACCAGGTTCCATATTTTCGGATTTTCCAACTGAAGTCTAACGACTTTAAACAAGTCTCACTCAGTTCGGCCATAGCCTTTATCAAAAGGTGTGGCTTGTACGCTGAACTATAAGTTAGACATGAGCTACAATATATCCATCTGCATTGCAGTGGAAAGCGGTGAGATAATCCCACTCATTTTCAACTTAACCTAATCTAACCTATATTTTTACAAATTAACATTCTGCAAATTATTATTTGTACTTACATGTAATTAATACTACTGGTAAGAGCTATCCCATCTCCATTGGGTCCCCAGACTACGATATTAGCGGTACCATGGTCATATATATTCCCTACTTCAGCTCCATAATATGCAGGATCAGATGATGTGAAGTAATCTCTGATTTTTCGCCTAGTTGTTTTAGCAAATACCTTGGAAGTGAGCTGGGCAATAATCTAGAAATATATAAAAATCCAAATTAGACTATTAAGTAAACATTTTGTTTCTTTAAAACACTTATTTACCTATCATTCTAAATGAAATATATACAATATAAACATAAAATAATTAACACAATTCCAACTGCTATTGTGTCTGCTGGACCTATGACGATATCTTCGCCTATAATAGGCGTAGCTGCTCTTTATAATGGATAGGCTAAATATAGCAGCTCTTGCTCCTTGCCAGAGAGGCATTATTAAGGAGTTATGATTGTCTTGAAGTCAGTAATTGTATGAGGTTTAAGATTTGTCTTGTCTTAGTTATTTTTATTGTTCTCTGGAGAGGTTAGGAAAATACAGTGGCCAGGATTCCATCTTTTACAAATTCAAATTCAATTTTTTTTATTTGTACTAGGGACAATATACAAAGTGTATTATGTTGTACACGTCAATATCCATAACTAAATATTACATAAAGATAAAGCTAAAAATTAAAGTAGATCATGTAAAAATACCAACTGCAAGATATAGTATTGTTATTAATAATTAATTATTAATTATTAATGTGCGAGCTAGGTCGACTTACCGAGTAAGAATGGCGTATTTACCAAGACTAGAGAAAAACCTAGCAAAACCCATAGTGCCATAATTTGCAATTGGTAATTACATCAATCATAATGTTTACCACTACAGAAAATTAATACTGATAGGTAGAAAAAGAAGAAAAAAAAACTAAACTACTAAACAGCTAAAAAGGGTCCTATCTTATTTCTATTCCTAACTTGTTGCATGAATTTGAAATATTTAAGATTGTAACATCATCTAGTGAATAGGGTTCAATATCAATTAAGATATTTCTAATAGTTGACTTAAATCTGCCTACATTTTTAATATTTTTAATATAGGGACCGTGCGTGAAATATAGAGGCAGCACTACTGCCGAAGTTAGCCCTCTCTAGTGTTTAATTTTGGAATTAAATGGGGTAAACATTGCAAGTAAATAATGAAGGATATTTTTTAAAATATTAAGTATAGTTAAAAATAGATACCGGCCCATACCGAGCAATCGTATACATGGTCAAAATGACGTAAAATGTGAAACATTATTAAAATCTGGACATGTATATACATTTTAAGCAAAAAGATTTAAATGGCTAAGTGACAATAAATTGTAAAGTTGTACCTTAAACAAGTGTATCAAATGTCAAAATATCGGTATTTAGTAACACTGAATTTAAAAGTATTACAATAACATTTAAAAAATGTAAATTAATAAAAAAGATTGATAATAATAATAATAATAATAAATCTTTTTAGCTTTATGTTAGTCGAAATGTCATTCATCCACTGACGTTTATGAGATGTCCAATGATACATATTATAGATTGCTCACCCATCTATAAAAAAAATTATGAAAATCGGGTTGCAATGTGCTTTTCCTAGTGCTCACTAAATAGAGCCGTTCTAGTCCAAATGTGTTTTAAAATAAAATTTCAGCAATCTTAAGAAAAAGAAAATAATTAAAGTTTTACTTCAAGACATGTTATTATGTATTTGGAAAGTTGAGTTTTCATGTAGTTAAATAATATTAAGAGATCTAAACAATTTTTATACATACGTAGCTACGACCGGCGTAAACACCAACGGCCTGCACACAGCTCACCTACTCTGTCAAGACGTTTCGCGTGTATACAAATTTTTGAATTGCGTATAAGTTAGCGTGTATCTAGACACTGTGTATTTTCAATAATTTAATAAATAAATTAATAAAAAAATGTATTCTATTAAAAATGTCATTACAAATTATGAACACAAACGTAAATAAATGCCTCAAACAAAGGTACACGATCATGGCTACTATGATTTGGATAATACAACTGCAGTCCTATAAAATATTTTTTGGTTTTTGCATGAACGTAGAAAAAATATTGTATGCAACTCGTGCAAAAAGTGTTTATTGCACTCTTTGCATAAATAACTATTAGACTACTCTCATTTCAGAAATAATACTACATAAAATACATAATTGCAATATGTAATACAATTTTGAAAAGGTAATGTAAACAACTTTGAGATGAGGAATAAACAACTTTGGTAAGAGTTGTAATTGGACACTAATCTATTATTATGAATAATGTTTAATGGTAATGTCACTAAAAAAATTTACAAAAAATCACTGGATTTTTAATATTTTAAAGTTTGTTGCAATCTCTTTTGACAGTAATTGAAATGTATTATTTATGATTTGTTTATTTTAATAATAAATAAGAAATAGTTAATAAATTGTAAAGAGGGCCATGATATTTTTGTCAAATTGGACATTCTTATTTAATAATAAACATTCTACATTAGTTTTAATCAACAGAATAAACCATTAATTATCTGTAAAATTATATTTATATAAAATGTTCATTTAAATATGTAAAAATCCTAATGACAAGAAAACACTACAGATTCTAATTTCTAAACCGGTTCTGTAAATGATTTCTTTACAACTAAGTACTCAAAATTGACAAAAGCTAGATAAAAAGAAAACTTTGCCAAGTGAAATACGCTTTTCGTCGTCTGATTTACATATGGATAAGCAATCTTTGTAATTATGTATATCATTGGGTATGAGACATTAATTGTTGTGCTCTGTGGAAATTTATAAAATTTCTTTACTATCGAATGAAATCCAGGTTTCCAAAGTGATGTGTTTGTACATCCACAGATGCAACAAGTTTTTTCGATAATGATATTACGAAAATAATTCGACTTTATTTAATTAATAATTATTAAACAATAAATGCCGTATAAAACATTAATAAATACCCCCCATAAAGTTCACATTTTTGTCACCAGTTAGCGTTAAAGTCATGACGCACGGTCCCTATAGCGTGGAAACATATTATAAAATTGTATGCATTTAAAATAGCATCCTTTTTCAAATAGTGTGGTTTTATGCGTTGGTATTACAAAACTATCTACTTCACGTGTATTATGTGTATGACCAAAAATATGTTCTCTGAATTAAACCTGATTTTCAATTACAAAATTTACACAAAAATATACATATATAACCACCGTCATCAGATTTGATTGTCGAAAAAACCCTCAACAGGAATCTCTAAAGTTCAACCCAGTTAATATTCTCAATACTCTTTTTTGTATCACAAAGACCTCATAATTGTAAAAACCACCCCAGAAGATGATTCCGTAACACGTAATGGAATAAAATTGTTTTGGTTTACAACTTTAGCTAATTCTTTCAGAGCAAAGCCACTCTTACTAAGCCTACCACAGAGATTGTCCACATGACAAGACCATCCCAAATTATCATCTACTATCACACCAAGAAATTTTGAAGAAACCACTCTGCCGTTATTAAATATAGTATCTTGTTTCAGACTTTCATAATCGGTACTGGCTATTAAAATGTTAGTGTCATCTGCATAATTTGTGAGTGTTACAGAAGACAAGTCTATCACATTTAATAGGTCATTAATATAGTGGAGGAATAGCAAAGGACCTAAGATACTTCCTTGTGGTACACCCATATGTATCGATTCTTGTTTTGAGAAAAAGAGTCCACTATTTGTTTTCAAACAGACTTTTTGAGACCTTGCATTCAGATATGATTTAAACCAAACATATACAATTCCACGTACGCCGATAACGTATAATTTTTTTAATAGTAATTGGTGGTTTACACAATCAAAGGCTTTGGACAAGTCTAGAAATACACCATGCACAATACAGCCATTATCTAGGTGATATAGAATGCGTTCTACAAAGGAAAAAATTGCTGTAGTTGTAGATTTCCCTCTTTAGAATCCATGTTGAGTAGAGGTAATACTTCCATTGGTAGCAAGAAACTTAGTAAAGCATTTATCCATTGCAATTTCAAAAATTTTTGAGAAGCTGGTTAGCAAACTTATAGGTCTATAGTTTTCCATAAGGAAAGGATCTCCTTTTTTTAGAATAGGTCTTGCCACTGCAGATTTTAGTTTGGATGATATCGGTTAACTTTGGATTCAAACGCTGATAAAAGAGCAAAAATATCACTGATGATGGCAAGACAGTCGACGAAATATTGGAATCAACTGGCTAATACATAACCTAACACATGTCACAAAATAAATGTGCAGTCTTGAACTGATTTAAGGGTAAAAAGTTATGGTAGGTAAAACTCAATTACAAAAGTATACATTGGGCAGTCGGTAGAAAAACTTCAGCTATAATTCAAGAACACTCTAACTTGGTCTTTGTCATAAATTATAAGAAATATGTAATTTCAACACAACTTCGTGTTTTGCCAATCTTTAAAATAATATCTGATACTATGAATATGGGAATTTGATTTTAATTAATTAAATTATACTTACTTTGTTCATTCCAAAAACATAATTTTTATCACCCAGTTTACTTCTCATAGCATAAGCATATTTTAATGCTTCTGTTATTCTCTGATAATTTTTCACGGTAACATGATCTTTTTGATCTAAAAATCCATCCAGGATGTTTAGAATATACGTCAGGATTATTCCAGATCCTGGCAATGGAATAGAGTAGATGTTTTTACCGTTCATTTTTGTTTGAACAGGTTTTCCTATTTTTGGCCTAAAAGTAAACATTAATCAATAATAATTAATATACCACTTTTTAATGGAATTGTTTAGTAATTTCCAAACCATACTAGTTAGAAAGTCGGTTAAATGGAGAAAAAGTTGCCTATCTCGAAGCACAATCTAGCGGTGAAAATTAATCAAAAATAGCAGGCTTGGTTCTTGAGATATTTTGATAAAAGGAAATTCGATCTTTTAGGTTTTTAGGTTATCGTTCATTTATTTTCAGAACTACTAAAAAATATTTTTAAGGTTTTTTATTTGATAGTAAATTTTCTTTGATTTTACGTTTTCATATTTTGCATCCAACGTTTCGTATTCTCCAGACCACCCTCAACTTATTTTTTTTAAATATGGACCTGGATATTTTATTTGAAATAACTTTTCGACCTGCATCCAGCGGTGTCTTAGACAATGGCATTCAATGACGGTTTTTGGGTAATATGGACCGTAATCCAAATTTTATTATATTTACGCTTGAATTAACATAATGTCATGCCTCTCGATAAAAAATAAAGTCAATTCTTACAAAATTTATATAATTTTTCGAAAATGAAATAATTCAACAACAAGAACAATAGTAATATAGACATTTTAAAACGCAATGACTGATAATTATTACAAAAAGAAATTCATTTATTGTAAGTCATAATCAAATTATTTGAAAATATCAATAAAATTAATTGAGTAATAATTATTCAAAATGTCCGCCATCTTCTTCAATACACTTAGCGATTCTGATATTCATGTTTCTTATGCTATTGCTTATTTCTTCTTCTTGGATATCTTCCAATGCATCTTCAATCATTTCACGGAGAATCTCAATTGTTGCATTCGGTGTATTATACACTTTATTTTTGAGACGTCCCCACAAATAAAAATCTAATGGATTCAGATCTGAAGATCTGGCAGGCCACGCCACTGGACTTCTTGTTCCAATCCATGAATTGGGAAAAGTCTAATTCAAATAATCCGTGACCATTCTTGAATTGTATGGACCACATCCATCTTGTTGGAATCAGATTTCGTTAAGACGATACTCTATAGAAAGATCGTCTAACATATCCTGCAGTATATCTAAACATTTTTCTGCAGTAAGGTTTCCGTCAATAAAGTATGGTCGCAGTAATTTATTATTTAACAAACCGAACCACTTCTTGGAATAGATGAGGAATACGAAACGTTGGATGTAAAATATGAAAACGTCAAATCAAAGAAAATTTACTATCAAATAAAAAACCTATAAAATATTTTTTAGTAGTTCTGAAAATAAATGAACGATAACCAAAAAAAACCAAAATGATCGAATTTCCTTTTATCGAAATATCTCGAGAACCGGGCCTGCTATTTTCGATTAATTTGCACCGCTAGATTATGCTTCGAGATACGCAACTTTTTCTCCATTTAACGGACTTTCTAACTAGTGTGGTTTGGAAATTACTAATTCAATCCCATTAAAAAAGTGACCACCCTGCATAATAATCTTTCAACTCGTTTAAAAGGTATTTGTTTAGAAATTTAAAGTTAAACTCTTATATTTTAAGTAATGGTACAATAGAAAGTATACAATAAAATAGTTGTAGTTCTATGTTTATTGAACTTTAATTGGAATATTCTATAAAAACAATTCGAAATCAGATATTACACTTTTAAAGTGTCATTATAACAGTTATAAATAAATTAAAACTTACTGATAATTGTTCAAATCCCTTTCTGTAATAATACCACCTTTATTTTGGATGTCTTTAACTAATCTTTTAGTCAATGAACCTTTGTGTATTGCATCTCCACCTTCTTTAGCGATAACTCTTAATGTCTCTGCTAACTTCGGTCGTTTATATTTTTCTCCAGTTTTGTAGACGTTGTTAGTTTTGGGATTTATAAAAATTGCTCTACAAATTATATAGAAGTACTTAGATTGACAAATACTCAAATGAATAATTTTACCTTAAGGCTGGATCAGATTTTACAACGTCTACGTAAGCTTTGACATTCCTTTCAGTTATATCGTTCATTTCAATGCCTTCTTCGTATATTTTAATAGTTGGTAGCACCAAGTCCTTCCAAGGTATCCCACCACCCCATATCTGGTAAAGGTGCCAGTACCCTCGTACTTCGGAAGGTATTCCCACACTTAGTCCACCTTAAAATCAAATAATTAAAATGAACTTGTCACAGATTAAATTGTTCAGCTGAAATAGTTACCTTTTTCTGATAGGGTGTGATTCTTCACAAACATATCTTGTGTAGCTCCTTCCGGTGCAGATTCTCTAGAATCAAAAGACCATGCTTTTCCGCTGTGATAAATCGTAGCTAAAAAACCGCCACCTATACCCATTGTTGTAGGGTTTCCCACTCCTTCGCAAAATGCTGTAGCTATCACCGTGTCTACTACTGTTCCACCTTTTCTCATAACATCTCTAACAAAAATAAAATTAATAAAAATGTATGACTGCATACAGTATGATGCAAATAAAAGGAATAATTTGTTTATTTCGCAACTCATTAACTTCTGGAACAATCCTGAGATCTGTCTTTTAATTGTTTTTCCAATCGTATTAATAAGTTCAAATAATTCGAGTTTTTACATTATCAAATTATTTTATTATTAACATTAATATTCTTGTATATTAAATATATTCAAATTCAAATCGTATAAAACGGCAGTGAACTTTTTAATAGCTTCCTACTTAACGCTATATTGATTCCTATGTATTCTGTGAGTTCATCGATATTTTGTGGTTTACTTTGGTGTACTTAACTTTATAATTAAATATACCCACAAGAAGAAATCAAGATGAATAAAATCTGGCGAGCTAGGTGTCAATTCGATTATCAAAGAAAAGTTTTGGAGAACGCGTTACGCAAACAGTTCCAAAGGTAAAAATAACGACGTCCTCTTTGACTAAAATTATACCAAGAATTGAAGGACTAAGAAAAGTCAAAACTTTTTAGACTGCAGTACTTTAAATAAATATATACAGGAATATTCTCATATGATTTCAGAAAACAATGCTGCTGAGGGTAATGTCAACCTACCGGACAGTGTCGATGGATGCACTACAGATCATTTCAGGAATCCCAATCGATCACATGATCTCACGATCTCAATGTAAGGGAGAGACGAATTGCAGAGCGTTCCAGGACCAAGACGAAGGCAAAAGTAAAGGCAATGGAAAGATAGCAAAAGTAATGTGGAGTACTTAAAAATAAAGCAGTAAACGAAACGGCTAAAACTAATAATTCTTTGATGGATAGAATGCGGTAAACTATTACCTTACACAATTTTTGACAGGGCACGGTTCTTTCAAAAGATGTACAAACAGAATTAAGAAGGAACGTGAGGTATCTGTATCTGGAATCTATGGAAGGTGGGTTACACCTATGGCGCTTAGGCCTCACTAGGCCCATTGTGCATCCTCCTAAGATGATAGGTACCTCTTAGCTCGTGAGCCAGCCTTCAGATTTAATAGTAACCATCTTGCTGATTCACTAGCCAAGAGAGCAGCCAACTAAATACTTTTTGGACCTGGCCCTTCTATTGACCTGACAAAATCGGTAGTGACAGACCTAATTAAAGAACATTCCCTTGTAAAATTCAAGGAAAGATGGGATGAAACAAGAAACTGCAAAGTTGCCAGGGAGCTCTTAAGTTGTCCTGCCCACGCCGCATCAAACAAATACTTGACTATGACTAGACAGAATCTGCGCCTAGTCACAGGCATTCTGACTGGTCATTGCCATATTATGGAGCTGTTAGAATCCGTAATCTGCAAAGGTCGTGAACAAGAAGATGAGATCATCGAGCATATCCTTTACAATTGCTCGACGCTCTCATTTATTAGAAGATTTGTGTTCGACGAATATCGGCTAACACCGGTCGATATAAGAGAAGCACCTCTTGGCGACATTGTTCATAAGCAATGTATGCTCTTTTGACTCCATTTTCTAAATGCGAGTTCCATGTTAACTTGCTGTCAAAGGTGAGACCTAGTTACTTCACCTCTGTTGCAAAATTTAGTTTTGTGTTTAGTAGTTCTGGGTGTTTTAATTCCATTTTCATCCTTTTCCTTGTGAAAGGGACAATTTCTGTCTTCTAAGGATCAATAGGCAATGGAATGGCCCTTGCGCCACTGTTATATAATTTTGAGAGCTACTTACATTATTTCGCAGAGTATGTTCTCAAAATTCCCTGTTTATAGAATGACCAGGTCATTTGCATATGCTATATGGTGACTGTCATTATTGGGGCGGCTGATAAGGGTATCGAGGACCATGTTCCACAGTAGAGGTAATAGCACCCCTCCCTGTGGACATATCCTCGCAACCAAGCCCCTTATATTCACATCTTCTACGTTTTTGTTTACTGCTCGCTTTGAGAGCATGTTATCTACCCACCCACTAACCCTGTGGAACATTCCTGTTGATTAGTGAGTGTATTATCTTTGGGAAGGTGATTTTATCAAAAGCGCCTTCCATGTCTATGAAACCACCCAAGGCGGACTCTTTATTGTTCAAGGACCTCTCCATCCTGCCAGCAACTAGATGAAGAGCTGTCTGGGTGTATGCATGTTGGTTTGAGTGTAGGTAGTGGTGTTGTTGTAATCACCGCATCCCTTATGTACCTTTCGCATAGCCTTTCCAATGTCTTCATGGAAAACGATGTCAGACTAATTGGTCGGTATGTTTTTGGGATAGTCTAATCCGTCCTTCCAGGTTTGGGTATGAATACCACTTTTACCTCTATTTTTTGGGAATGTACCTCAGAGTCAAAGAGGATCTGAAAATACCCACCAGGTGCGGTGTGAATTCTTCCAGACCCCACTGAAGTATGTTTGGATAGATACCGTCAAGTCCTGATGGTTCAAATGGAGGGAAGTTGGATATTGCCCATCTAATGTTTTTATCGTCTACAATGTGTTTGGCAGTTTGCCAATCATAGACAAATGGGTTGTATTCTTCCTATGCCCAGTCGGCCACGTCTGTGATGACCGAGTCAGGGAAGTGTATTGACAGCAGAAGTTTGATGCTATCTTTGAGGTTGACAGGTTTCGTGCCATCCTCTTTGATTAACGTACCAAAGCTTCGGTATGGATCTTTTGAGACAGCTTTTTGAAGCCTTGTTGCCTGAGATTTGTAAGTATCCTAGTCCCTTTTGAGTTTTGTGGTTCTTGCCTTATTAAAGGATTTCCTAGCCATCTTCCTGACGTGATCCAACTCGTGACACCACCATGCGGTAGTCGTCTGATCGTGTTGGACCAGCCTAAGAAGACAGGATTTCTTATAGATATCTTTATTATGCTTTGGATAATGTTTGAGTACTTCTCCAAAGAATTATTATTGTTTGGTGTTTTGGCATCCATCTCTTTCAGAGCCTCTTGGAGAAGGTAGACATAGGTTACGAGGTGAAACGTAACTAGTATGATTAGGTAAACTCACCCGAATACACCATTTGTGCGTGCGAGAGATTTCAGGCAGTGTTGCTAACGGTCCACCAGGAAATTACTGGCAAAATACGATAAAAAGGCTGAAAATTACTGGAAAAATATTTTCGATTAATGGCAATATAGCACGTTAAATTTCTCTAGTACCTAGGAACAGCACAGGCCAAAAAAGTTGCAATTTTTTAATAATCTCTTAATTCACTACGGCATTCATATCAAATTCCTTTAAATTTAGATGAAGAAAAATGGTGAAGTTCTTCTTCTTTGACGTTGGGTAACCTTAGCTGCTTTAAAATGATGAAATTGATATTAGTATAATGTCTAACTGCTTCGCTTTTGGCACTGCTGCTATATATGTAATTAGCCAGCACAATTTGGTGGAGGCTTTGAAAATAAAATGTTTTTATTATTGTTTTTGTGAGTTATTGGGCATTTCGTAAGTCACTGTAAGATCATATAATAATAGTGATAGTATTTGCATATATAGATCAAAGATATAACAAACAAATAAATTTGTAAATAAGCTTTTATTTATAATATTAAAAAATCCAAACCGGTACAAGTAATAACAAATTACATTTTATAAATAAAAACATAAATGAGGAATTTTCTCCACTTTTATTCCTTGAGGAGTCCAAACGCATAAAATGCAAAATCAGTTGTTTTCAGAATTTATTCCAGATGTCGACAAGTTACGAAATAATTAATGTATTCCTTTCATTTGCACCACATTGTATATTTAGAGATACACAGATATCAAATATCAACAAAACGTTTTTATTTATGATTTATGTACCTTCCAATTTCTGCACAGCCAGGAGCATTACTGACCACGGCCCCATTTCTTACGTTTGGGAAAGTCCTCCCTTGACTTCCAACTGAGAGAAATACAAGAAACAATACCGTTGTTATTGGGTTTTGGATTTTTCTGAAAAATGATTATTTGTTTACATTTCAATAATTTAATAATCACATATAAGTACTAAATAGTTATCTTTATTACTAAAGACTCAGACTTCTTTCGAAAAAGTGATCTGTTTAATGTTATAAATGTTGATACTTTGTAGTTCTTGATCTCTTGAATAAAAGTATCCTTGAGACCTCTCAAATCCTATTAAGAAACCCCACGTATTTTTTAAAGACATTAAAACTACATTACACAGTAATTTGTACAAAATATATTGATCACAGACTAATCAAAATGATAAAATGCCGTTAAAAATTATAAAAAATGTAAATTAAAAAAATATGAAACAAAGTGACCACTAGTCTTTCTTTTTTTTATCCCCCTTTCTTTGTACTTTTTCATCTTCTTCTTTACTTTTTTTTGCAATACACTATATTCTTTTTATAATAATTATTTGTAAAATGTCAAGAGATGTTACAATAAGATTAGCCACAAAAAAATTACTTTCTCCTGGAATAAATGGTATTTAAGTTTAATATCCTTTATCTTAAAAACCAGTCACTGGATTTGATTGGCACCATGGATAATATTGCTCAATATTTGACAGGTTGCCACTTTCTGTAATAGGTATGTATGCTAAGGCTCCATGACAAAACAGCGCAGGACAAAATGGCGCAAGACAAAATAGCGCTGACAAAATAGTGCAAGGACAAAATAGCGCACGACAAAATAGCGCATGGACAAAATAGCGCAGGATAAAATAGCGCAGGACAAAATAGCGCAAGGACAAAACAGCGCAAGGGCAAAATAGCGCAAAGACAAAATAGCGCAAGGACAAAATAAGGCAAGAAAAATAGGGCCCAACTATCATTATTACCACTATTTTAATTTACTATATTCGCATACAATTCTAAAGTTTAAGTTAGTAATAAGTCAAATTTTTTTATAATTTTATTATCTTTTTTATATCAAATAAAATAATATCAGTAATAATTTAAATGAAAATTTTACAAGATGTCTAATGACAAATTATAACGCATACATTTAGTCAAACAATCCAAAAAATTTAGACTAAATACTAAGTAAAGGAGTAATATTTCTTAGAAAATCAATCCAGCGATGATACAGTGCCCCAAGTCTTTATCAGTGCTTTTATTTTTCGGTTTAGTGTAATATATTTCTTTTTAGAAGCTTCTGTTCTCCGCTCTCCGTCATTGAAACGTTATATGATAATTTCGTAATAACTAATTTAAACATTGACGGACGATAACAATTTAAAGTTTTTTGAAATGCATTATGCCATGATTCTACTGAATTATTCGTTCTCGGAAGATCCTATAAAACTCGATCCCACATATTCCAGTGGGTAATTGGAAAAAGAGGAACTTCGCGCGTTCCTAACTTAACCCTACCAATATAATACAAACAACCAATAATATTTAAATTAGGAAAAACAGAAGCGGCTGCATTACATATCGCTTCTTCAAAATCGAGCATCATTGTAACTGGTGTTAAATTTGGTTCAATCTCTTTGATTGTTCGAAAAACTCTTACATACTACTCTTACATTTATTCCTTTGGCGAAGAATATTTTTTTGTAGAGACGAATATTTCGACAGTGAAGATGATGCGAGCAGAGACATTCCTTGAGTTACTTCTTGAATTACTTCTCTAGCCTTAACTCGTGTTTGTTTTGCTTTTTCTCTGATTTTATTTACTACATCACGGGCATTATTATCCCCTACATCAGGTGCATGGTTATGCATAGTTATAATCTTTGGAATCTCTTTAATTGTCTTCACACGTCCTTTACACCAAACCTTAATGCATCTCCATGATTTCGATTCATCAACATTGACTCTATCTAACCTGTAGCGATAACTTTCGAATATTAAAATATCTCTGCCTTTTTGTGATTGAATGAATTCCATATTTAAATGACTGATATTTCAAAATAAAAGTCAAGTACCTATATCCAAGGAAACCAAATTATTCAATAATAAAAGAGATGAATCGTAGTTGACCATAGATTAGGTAACAGTTAGATGGGTCGGTCAGACCATACGAATAAAATGTGTGAGAGACGGAGCTACAGTCCAAACATTCGTTAAATAGGCGTCGCCGAAATAGTATTCGTTACGCATTATTTCAAGAATTACATTAATTAAAAAACATTTCTTGTTCGTTTGCGCTAGTTTTCCGTCGTTAGTATTCTAAGTAAAATAAAAAAACAACCAATTTACCTAACCTGTGCGGCCTGGTGCCATTGCATGTTGCACAGGAACAGGTTAGGTAAATCAATTAATTTTTTTTTATTTTAAATAGAATACTAGAATAGTCTGTCCTTGCGCTATTTTGTCCTGCGCTATTTTGTCCTGCGCTATTTTGTCCTTGCGCTATTTTATCTTCGCGCTATTTTGGCATGCGCTGTTTTGTCCTTGCGCTATTTTGTCCTTGCGCTATTTTGTCTCGCGCTATTTTGTCCTGCGCTATTTTGTCCTTGCGCTATTTTGTCTGCGCTGTGTTGTCCTGCGCCATTTTGTCCTGCGCTGTTTTGTCATGGAGCCTTATGCGGCTTCACGCTAATATCAAAATTTAACAGCGTTTCTTAAACACATTTTAAATTCTAAATCGTCCCAATTTACTGCTTTTTTTAAATATTTAATCAAATACTTTTGTTGGGGATCAACTTCATTAAAACTCTTCAAAAAAACAATACATACTAAAACTTTTTATTTAAAAATGTACTTCACTTCTGAGGACATACGCTTTTGACATCTAAAAATACTATAAAATATGATACCCTTTACTTTGCCTTCATTAGATAGATACTCGTATATTGATAGCGACACGACACTAAACCTCATTAGAGAAATACTTTAAACAACAATGTATTTTAGAACGCCAATTTAGTAATAATACTTCCCTATTTAAATAAACAATTAAAAATATTCTTAATGGCAATATTATATTACAAGTTCTACCTAAATATTGTACCAAATGTACTTTTTAAGTTACTTAAGAAAAATTACTCGTATTTTTAATAAAAAATAATATGTGGTACAAATATTGTGATTTGACCACACAAATACATAATCATTCTTAAATTTATTAATATGTTTAAAACATTAAAACATTGTTTTTCTACACCCGTATTATAATAATGCACTTATATGCCCATAATCCGTTTCATAATGATACCCATTATGATACAGATTTTTCATTACGATACAGATTATTAATCAATAGAAACCTACAATTTTTCAATCAAGCATGCTGTTTGACGTTTGTCCTAGGTTCCTATGTAATTATTTTAGTTGTCAAAACGTATTAAATTTTCGTAGGTAGCTAAACTTCGATAATTATAATATTAAAATGTCTGATATTAGCGATATAGAAGACTCCTCCACACATATCGGAGAAAGCAGAAAATACAGTACAAAATATTTTACCGCAAAAATCTAGGGAAATACCAATACCTGAAGTAATACCATTAATTACAATTTTGTAGAATTTTTTATAGAAATACGAGTAATTACTGTTATTGTGTTCAATACCAATATAAATATAATATTTATAGGTCTTGATTATTTATCGGGTGTAGAAAAAATAGCGTATGCAACTCTCATGTAATGGTTATTAAAACACTCGCATAAACCATACGAAACTCGCCTTTGGCTCGTTTCGTATCCCGGTTAATGCTCGTGTATTAATAACCATCATTACATGATCGTTGCATAATATACTATTGTTTACCCATGTAAGCAGTTTCCTTATACTTATTTAATTAATTTATATGGTACATATGCATTAAAATATCCCAATTAAATTAATGTAAGTTCATATAAGTAAAAAGCCAAATTGATTATTTTGAGATTGTTTCTTTAATATAATTCAGATATTCATTTTAAAGCATATAGTAAAAATTTTTATGCAATAAATTATATTCTAGCTTATTGATAAATGTATTTTCTGTATAATAAATTGTTTTCCTTATTCAGCCCCTTATTGTGTAACAATATTTTATGATTGCGAAGATGTTCACACCAATAATTGATAGTGGTCCAGTAATTAACACTTGTTCAATTATTCTTTAAAAATAAGAATAGAACTATTACTATATATGATAAATTTGTCTTAAACATCGGTATTATTAGAACATTTGGCAACCGTGCAGCCTACGTAACGGATGTTAGGTGGCATCACGGCATCGTACATAAATAGACCATGAACGATGACCACAGTCAGTTACAAAATGGTGATAATAACACGGGCAGCGATTCGCGATTTAAGCTAAGTGATACGCCCTCTGGATGAAATTTGTAGAAGGTGCTCATATGTAGGATGTTGTTTGTGTTGCCAGAAATAGCAAAATTTCACAAACAGAGGGGGGAAACTGGTATGCGCAGGCCTGGGATAGAGCAAAAATCAACCACCTCCGCGTGGCGCTGCAGTCGGGTGGTGGGGTAGGTGGTGGGAGTGTAAAGGACAGGTGAATATTGATTTTTGTGGGGGGTGTCATGGCGTCTTGGCTTAAACCTAACGTGAACTTTGCTATCGCTATAATAAAGCAAAAATGCAGTTTGTGTGAACAAATCTTAATTTGGCTAACAGTTTTTATTGCGGATAATTTTTACTGTCAAATTTGAATAGCCCCGCGCTTTTCTTCTCTTCTTCTTTTTATTATTTTCTCTTCTTTTATATGGCCTCTTACCAGACAAGGACTTAATTGAAAAAAAATCAACCGCGTCCACCAGGTGCCGCTAAAAATTCTATCATCCTTTTTTAACATGGGAGATACTGTTCTAAGAGTATGTGTTCTGTGGTCACAAATACAAAATCCCGCCCAAAACGAACAGATATGTAAATAAACAGACGTCCTACTTATAGGTGAAAAATGACAGGCGCGCGAAAATTTATTTGAATCCCAAATAGGGTGTTTGTGTTAAAACATTTCATGGGGTCAGTATACTAAATTCATGTTAAATTTATTTAGGAAACTACTTTGAAGGGGATGATAA